GGCGCCGCCGAGGGGCCGGCTACCTTGGTGATGGCGGGCAGCGACGTCGTCGAGGTCGAGGTCGAGGCGCCGCCGGGGGCCAGCTGGTGGCCCAGCGCCGAGATTCTGTCTTTGGCGGAGGGGGACATGGTGGTGGTGGCGGCGGCGGCGGGGAAGGCAGTGGTGATAGGGAGAAGAGCAGCTGTGCTTGACAGTGCTGGAAATGTTCGAGCTTACATGTCGTCTGCGATGGGGGGGGGGGTTCGGTTTCGGATGTGGCATCGATAGAGGGAGGGGGTTGGATCGAACAGTGGGCGAAGCCGAGGCTCCTGGGGATCGACGTGGGGTGAAGCTGGAGGCAAAAGCTGGGGTCCGGCCGGTGCAGCCACGAATGAGCACGGAGCATGCCTGAGCCACGGAGCACGCCTGAGCCACACGTCTCCTCTCACGGTCATCTCCAGCACGTTCACTCACGTCCATGCTATTCGTAGGTACCGACCTTGACGTACCTAGGTACCGTACCTACCTTACCTACCTTACCTACCTTACTTAGGTAGGCATCAGAGTAATGCAATAGACCACGGTTGCCAGTTGTTTGCACGGCAAGCACCCCCGATCGGGCCTGCACTCGAGCGTCGAGGTCCGTCCAGTCGGCGTGGAATCGTTCAGCACGTAACAACACCATCTCGGCCTCTCATACGCCACGAGCATACCGCAATTGGATAGAAACATGGCAACATTCACGTCAGGTAGGACTGCACAACCTCGCGGGCAAGACGCACTTCGAGAAGGAGGCTAGAGTCATCGCCGAGCTGTCACAATGAGCCCCTCGACGATCATCAACCTTGCACATGAACCCTAGTCCTCGGCGGCACGGCCTCGTCGGCATCGTCACACTCTGTGGCCTTCTCCCCTGACGCTGGGGACGCATATGCCCGAGGGAGGCGCCAATGGTGTATGGCCATCACACGGTATCGATGACGGCCTTGGGCTTTCAATGGGACACTCTGGCTCCTTGGCAACGGACAGGCTAACAATGGGACACTCTGGCTCCTCGACGACGGACAGCATGTCGAACAGCGGGCTCAGGTCGGAAGTCCCGGCATTCGAGGCAAGCCTAGAAGGAATTGGCACTGGATGGCACCTTCGCAGACTCAGCCGAGGCATGGCAGGCCTGGGATCAGATGATGGCGCCATAATTCAGCCTCGAGGGCGACAGCGACGACATGCTGTCGGTGACAGGTGGAGACTAAACACGTGTGCTCGAACAGGAGACTGGCAGTCAAGCATTGGCGTGCCTGGTCGAGCTGGAATTCTCGTCATATTGGGGTTCTGGGATCGATGAATTGATTTTTAGCCCTCTGTGGGTGCCGACGCGACTGCAGGGTTTGCCGCACTGCATCTTGGTAGGTCCGCTGGTTCCAGGATGTACTTGGTGCGTCGGGAGAGACCTGACGAAGAGCTTGGGAACTGGAACGCAGGGCGACGACCTCAACCGTCAGACGGTGAAATACGATACTGCAAATTGAAAAGCGGACAGCTTGAGCTCTACAAGACACTCTCGAATCAGATCATCCGGAGAA